GTGTGGCAACTGATCTTGCGAGGTATTGAACAGTGGCTGAAAGAATTTAACAGCTGGAGATTTAGGGCATAATCCTGGTGATCCTTCCTTTTGGCTAAGAGACTGTATCATGGATGGGGCCACCTTGTGCCCTTCATATGATGCTGGACTCCAGTTCCCATCAGCCCCAACCAGCATGGCAAGTGATCAGGGATGATGGGAGTTGCAGTCCAACATCACAAGGCCACTGATTCCACATCCCTGAGCTGTAGTGTTTGGTGGAAGCCCTGCTGTGCCACTGGACGTCAAGCTATGCTGCCTACAGCATAGCTGTAATATAACCTGGTAGAACATGCCAGATACTGTGGATAGAGGAGCCATTCTGCTGGTGACTATATGCCAGTAGAATGGCCAAAAGGGGATGGTGTCATGGAGAGCATGCGCTTCATCTTATGTCTTCTATCCATGTTCACACACAAACCTGTTGAAGGTGCAACCATACCTAGCATGTGTGTGCGCACACACACACACACACACACACACCCCAAATGGTAAGACTAATGATTTTAGAGCAGCCGGTGTGTCCTGGAAAGTTTAAGGGAACACTGTGTCCCTTTCAGGCGGCATAAACTTTCCCAATGTGTACATATATTAGATCAGATTTAAAGCTATATATTAATGAATAAATACAAATAAGAGCTGGTTGGGAGTCTATAGGGCTGCTAATGAACGAAAAGATCTGCCTGGTATGCAAAGGTGAGACTTGTGTTGAAAACGGACCAAAGCACACCTGGATATTGTTTTGCTTCTCTCTGTTCTGTGTGATTCTTAATTAATATGTAATGAAGTCTGTACATTTTTAAAAGCAGTTACTCCTCAACCATACTCTGAAAATCCACTTCTGCTGGATGTGTTCGGGCTGGTTGCTTGCATAAAAACTAGCAAACTTTGCTTTCCTCCTGAAATAGTTATAAAAAAAGATAAGATTTTGGTTTATCCTTTGGGTGGAGTATTTGTTGTATACGCATGCATTCTCTTGTGTAACAATTGACTGCTATTGCCTTTTTAGCCTGTTGCAAAAGTGATAAGTGATAGATTGGCTGCTTTCCAGACACAAACTGCTACGATAGGATTGAGCACTTCTTTCTCAGGAACATCTGGACTAGAAAGGAAGAGTGTAGAAGCATAAAATCTCCTGTAGGCAGTGTCTTGTGCTGGCTATTAGTAAAAGGTAAAGGGACCCCTGACCATTAGGTCCAGTTGTGGACGACTCTAGGATTGCGGCGCTCATCTCGCTTTATTGACCGAGGGAGCCGGCGGCGTACAGCTTCTGGGTCATGTGGCCAGCATGACTAAGCCGCTTCTGGCAAACCAGAGCAGCGCACGGAAACGCCGTTTATCTTCCCGCTGGAGCAGTACCTATTTATTTACTTGTACTTTTGACGTGCTTTCGAACTGCTAGGTTGGCAGGAGCAGGGACCAAGCAACAGGAGCTCACCCCTTTGCAGGGATTCGAACCGCCGACCTTCTGATCAGCTAGTCCTAGGCTCTGTGTGTTGTGCTGGCTATTAGTTTTGCACAAATAGCGTACTTCAGATGATGTTGAAAACCGCAGTTAAGGAAGGGGGTCTGAATTGACAAACCACAGTTTGTGTGTTGATGGCAAACTGGAATCATAAACTATGGTTTGAAATTGGATTCTAAACATTGGTTTCTGCTAAATATAGTTTGCATGTCATCTGAATTGACAAGATGTGTGGGATGCATTCTAGAGAATAGGCCTAATGTGATTGGGTAATTAGGTTTTACATCAGCAACGTTGACACCTTTATAGGATAGAGAGATTCTGAGTGGTTATGTATTATTTATTACTGTTTAATGGGTTTCTAGCCTGCCATTTAGAGTGTATACTCTTCCAGAGAAGGTTACAACAAATCAATAAAATACTACATTAAAATTCAAGGGTGATATCCAATACTAGTCATACTGAGAGTGGACCCATTGAAATAAATGAGCTTAAGTTACTTAAATTCATTGATTCCATGGTGCCTATTCTGACTTAGTTGGATAACACCCCAAGGTTTTAAAATGGCAGTAAAAACAGTTAACATAAAAATGTCAGCCAATAGAACAGTTATTTTTTAATGACCATAACAGCACCTCAGTGAAGCCAGAAACCAGAATAAAAGAGTTTTCGGGACTTCTCCTTAACCTCTGTCCTGTGGGCCAATTTTGACCCCTCCAGGGTGTTCCAAGTTGGCCTGCAAGGCCATTTCTCACAAACCACAAGTAGCATCAGTTGGTGGGTGGGGTGAAATCCGGTTTCAGCTGCGCCTGCTGCTTCCCAGTCATCAGAGCAGAATTTAACCCCTACCTCTCAACTGATTCAGGAAGGGTCTTGCTTTGGAATCCCTTGCTAAAACAAATGGAGGGGAAAACACTTTTGTTTTGGCAGCACCTTTCAAGGTGCTTTGAAAGCTCAACTTTGGGACTTCAAAGCACCTTGCATCTGATGTCATTGTAATGTTAAGTGATTGACAGTTGGGTGCCTCCACTCACCTGTCAGTTTTGGCTGCGAGGCCAATCCTGTAAGGATCTTACCCAGGGAGCCCAAAAGGTTTCTCATCCCTTCCCTAAAAAGTGGGGCCATGCATATTTGGGGGGGGGGCATTTTAGAGATACCAAGGTCTTTTTGGTTTGCTCAAAACGTTCCAGAGTGCACTTCCCAACTCTTGGAAGTTGTTAAAGAGGTTGATGTATTTGTAATCTTTGGAAATAAAGACTTTGTGCCAATTTGTATTAGTTGCTGTTGAGCTCCATTCGGTTTTGTGTACAAATATCACCCATTGTGAAGAGACAACCCCACCCCCAAATGTTTGATTTACACACTCAAAAGCATAAAGTCCTCAGAATCCACCAGCCTTCTTTGTAGTGTGAAATGTTGATGAGCTTGCAGTTTCTTCTCATTCTCCTCCTAGTGGTGCATCAATAAAACTGCTGGCACATTCGCAAAGCTTAGTAGGGCCTGGTATGGTTCTAAACTGAATGGGGAACCACATGCCGTGATTCCTGAATTGCAGGGGGTTGGACTAGATGTCCCTCGGGGGTCCCTTTCAGTTCTATGATTCTACTCCTCTCGGAGGGGAGAATGAACCAAAAGTTGGCAGAGCCAGCTAATTTTTATTTTTCAAAAAACCATAATGCATTTGTTACGTGTATAGGTCGCCTAATGAAATGGTGTTTTCCTTCCTTCTTCCCCCATGCAGATGAAGAGCACAAACCTACCTTGATTAACTACGACTGTGTGTGTGAAGGCACGTCATGTGTGAATGGCGACCGCTGCAGAGGCCACCAGTGCTTTGCCTCTTTGAGCATCAACAATGGCGCTAAAGTGTATCAGAAGGGCTGCTTCCAAGTCTACGAACAAGGGAAAATGACATGTAAAACACCTCCTTCCCCTGATCAAGCGGTCGAATGCTGTCAGGGTAACCTGTGTAACATGAACATCACAGCACAGCTGCCGACGAAAGGTGAAAGTCTTATTCTTTGGCAAACAAATTTCATATTATTAGCAAAGCGTTTCTTATAATAAGCTCACTGTCTTTGACTTGAGGTCTATGATCTTATGGGATCATGTGTGACATCTCCGGAAATTGAATACAGTTGTACCTCAGGTTAAGAACTTAATTTGTTCTGGAGGTCCGTTCTTAACCTGAAACTGTTCTTAACCTGAGGTACCACTTTACCTAATGGGGCCTCCCGCTGCCGCCGCCACCCAATTTCTGTTCTCATCCTGAAGCAAAGTTCTTAACCCGAGGTACTATTTCTGGGTTAGCGGAGTCTGTCACCTGAAGCGTCTGTAACCCGAGGTACCACTGTACATGAAAGAGAAGGGAGGAAAGGTTGGTCGTGGTGTGTGGAAGCATATTGACCAATAGTGATGATTTGGAAAATTAAGGACCTCAATCTCTGTGTGAGAGGCAAGTGTATAGGCCTCTCCAGGCATTCCAGATAGGGGAAAGTGGACATGTGAGGGGTGTGGCAGGAATTAGAGTTCTAGATCTGGCTTCCCAAGTTGGAGAGTTCTTGAAGCAAGAAGCTTCTGTATCTGTGGAGATTCTCCACACTGGAAAATCAGGGTTTTATAAAACACAGGGAGATTCCACAGATACAAAACTGCTCCCCACAGGAACCAGGAGTAGCTTATACTCTACGAAGAACAAACTGAAATCTAAAAACGGAAAATGAGATGGAAGTTGGTGGGACTATGAATGTAACAAACCAGGTGGGATAAAAGTGTAAGGGCCCTTCCACACTTCCTATTCATAGTGGTATAGTTGCTACCACATAAGGTCCTTAAGGGGTGTGACCACAACCCTGGAACTTATCTCAGTTCAGGCACAACTCACCATTAGTGTGGAGAAGAAAACCCTACACTCGCTCTCTAATAACAATGGGATGTGACCAGAGATGCAGGCAATCAGCTCCCAATTCACTCTTGAAAACATTAACTCAAAGAGCAGTTGTACCACTTATAAATGATAAGTGCAGAGAGGCCCTAAAAAAGAGGCACGTTGTGAGGCACCAGTGGGGCCATCAGGGTCCACTTGTTTCAGAAAAGCTTGGTAGGTTCAGACCTGCCTGGATGGGTGATCGGTTGGAATCCATGTGGACTTCCATTATGCCAGAAAGGAGAATATAAATGTAAGAAAATAAATCATAATTAAAAATAAGGAATATAGAGTATTGTATTCTGACAGGATGCAAGTATCCATGGAAGAGCTGGCCTCGCAAAGTTCAAGAGCTCCAGCTGGGTTCCCATTTAGCCTGCTGGGCTGTTTTTCAGAGTCTACCAGATATTGGAGTTAACACCAGAGCTGGAAAGAAAGATTTCACACTTCTAGGTTATAGCTTCTCATTTTTTTGATAGCCAGGTGCCGTGTCTCCCTCCTCCCAAAAACCTTCTTCAGCACACCGAGTCCTTCTGAGACAACTGAATTCTCCAATTCAGTTGTGTGGGGGTTTTAAAATAAGGATTTACAGTAAATGTACACAAGCGAGTGTCCTTCTATCTGTCTTTTCAATGGACTTTTGTCAAAATTCCCAGCATTTAAGATTTGACTTACCTTCTGTTCTTTCTTTTTGTTTTTATGTGAAGGGCACCCACTTCAAGGGGAAGCTGTGGGTTACACCACGGAAACACTTATCATATTTGTTGTAGCATCAGTTCTGGCGCTCCTGATATTTTCTGCAGTGACGTTGCTGATCATCCGAAAAGTGAAACAGTACCATATGGAAAGGCTCAATTCAAGGGATCCAGAATATGGAACCATTGAGGGACTCATAGCATCAAACGTTGGTGACAGCACCCTGGCAGTAAGTAAATCTCGTCTGCTGTTATTCCTATGAAAGCATTCTGCTGTTTTTATTTTTTGATCAGACTGCCAAAAATGTTACTTGTGAAATATGAACACTACACACAGTCTCCTTCTCCAACTACCTTTTTATAAGCTTGGAGTAGGCATTGCCCACTCTCTTAAAAACTAAAATGTCATTAGGAGCTGAATTCTGTTCCCACCACCACCTTCTGTGGATTATTTTTAATGCTCGCTTAAGAAGATCCCTGTTGGCTCAAGACAAAACCTTGTCCAGCCCACTGTCCTGTTCTCACAGCAGCCAACCAATACCTATGGGTATCCTGCAAACAGGACGTGAGCGCACTCCCCATTTCTGATTCTGATTCTCAGCAGAGGGGTCTGAGACGTTCAGCTTCACTGGGAGAATTAGGACACAGGGAGGAAGTCTGATGATGGAGCTCATTCATTCTTGTATGTCTTCTGGTGCTTTTATTAGAAGTGAGTTAACCACAATGTGCAAGTGGTGTGTTTATACAGTTGATAGCATGAACACGTACTAGTGTTGGCATGGCGCAAGGGCCTCAAGACTGCTGTACAAGCGGTACCTCTACTTATGGGCGCAATCCGTTCCAGGGTACCGTTCACACCCCGAAAATTAAGTAGAGCGCTGCTTCTGCGCCTGACACAGGAGAGCTCTCCTGCGCATGCATGAAGCACGCAGAACGCTTCTGCGCATGCGCGCATGGCGAAACCCGGAAGTATACACTTCCGGGTTTGCCGCGCTCGCAACCCGAAAATCCGCAACCTGAACCTAATGCAGCTAGAGGTATGACTGTATATTTTGAAGGCAGGATCAGTAGGATATCCATCATTCCTTTGGTAAATGCTCTAAAACTGAACATAAAAATTGTTTTGCTGCCACCTTGTGGTTGTACCTGATTGATTTAAAATGCATTTTTCAGTACAAGATTGTAGTAGAATTATACAAATCCTTTTCCTGTTGAGTTAATGGCACTTGCTAATATCTCTATATCAAAGGTGTATACACACACACACACACACACACACACACTTTATTTATTTACAGATTTTGTTATTCTGAGCGGTTTTCTACTCAGTGCTTAAGTCCAAAAAAGGAAGTTTCTAAGCAGTCAAATTTCAGTAACCTCTTTGGGCTTTAACAGTTGTAACCCTATATATTTATTTCCAGAGATAAGCTGTGTTGAGTTAAATGGGACTTATTCCTTGGTCACTGTGCGTAGGCATGTAGCCGTAAACAGTTGTATTTTGACTGCTCTATCAAATTCTATTAAAAGTTCAGTATCTAAGGGTGGCATTCCTTTTAGGGACTCTTACACGTGTTTTTACTTAAGGGTGAGTCTAATAATAATAATGATAATAATGTAATTAATTATAATTATTAATTAAAGCAGTGTTTATTGAACTTCATATCTCCCCCCCCCCTTTTGATGACATCACCAATCCAAAATGCCACAGTTCTAATAAACTAGTTATAAAAAGATGAGCTTCCCAACCAAGAGGGAACATCAGTCCGCCCCCACCTTCCCCCAGTGGCATAAATTATATAAAACTGCTGAGTAGGAGCAGTTCTCCAAATTGGGTGATAAACTGCATTAAAACCTGAATAGACAGTTAGAAGGGGATTACATTTCAGTAATCTCTGCGTTAAGCCAGTCACAAAAGCTTTCAGGCATTACAATGAAGATTTGCATTACAATGAAGAAAAAACCCACTTGAGGTGGAGGAGGGGCCAGCAGGGGGTGAGTGTGTCAAGCTCTGCTCCCCTCGTCCTCCTTCAAAGGTCTGTGTTGGAGAACCTTCTGCACCTCGTGCATGTTCATAGAATCATGGAACTGTGGAATTGGAAGGGACCACGAGGGTCATCTAGTCCAACCCCCTGCAAGCCAGGAATGATTTGCCCAGTGTGGGCAAATACCCACCACCCTGAGATTGGGAGTCTCATGCTGTACCGTCAGAGCTATCCCAGTGGAGGCTGCTTGTGTATTTTTAGAACCCAGGAAAACCTGTACTGAAGACTCCCTGCTGCAGACACTTTCTCTCTTAATAGTTGGTAATTGGGGTCCTTGTCTCCCCAATGCCCCGCCCATGTGTTACTTGAACTCTTCATTGCAATGCCTGAAGGGGGCTTCTGTTAGCATGTGTTCACACAGCCTATATGTACTTTTTTTCAACACATGTATGGCTGCGTATATGTTTTCAGTAACCCCTGGAGTTCAGCCTCTTACTGGTTTGGATGGTCGATGTCTTTTAAAAATATATATCAACTATACTATAATTGCAAAGTAATGTAGATTACTGTTTTGGAAGGTCTGGAATTATTAGCCTACCGTTCCCTATCAGGAAGAGTTCCCTTTTGTGGTGCAGAAAACCAGGGAGCAAATTGTAGATCCACCTTGTATCTGTTTCTGTGCATTTTTTAATTTGCAATTTTTTTCCTGAGTCACTCCGTGCTCTCTCACATTTGATCTGTAATTTGTGGTCCAAGCTGCTCTGTACAAACAAAACTATGTGCTCTCCATTCACTATGAAAACAGCTACAGCCCCCACACCCTTTGGGCCAAAGTGGATGCAATTTACAGCTACAGAGGCCATTGCAGAGTGGATTAAGCCTTCCAAACAGCAGACAAATAGGTCCCCGAGTGCAATGTAAATGGAAGAAAAATGCCTTCAATAAATGAATTGAAGGGAGGGAGGTGGCAGAATGCCAGCTTCTGTTCCATTTCAATTCTAGTTCCAAACATGTGGTCTTATTTTTCACACAGGACTTGTTGGACCATACCTGTACATCCGGAAGTGGCTCTGGCCTTCCTTTCCTGGTACAAAGAACGGTGGCTCGCCAGATTACGTTGTTGGAGTGTGTGGGTTAGTAATCTTATTCTACCTGGGACAGGGCCCTGAGAGTTCCTCTGTGTTGTGTGCACGTATGAGTGCGTGCTGTGGAGAAGGGTGCGATCCTGTACACATCTACCTGGAAGTAAGTCCCATTAAACTCAAAAAGGGTTTACTTCTGAATAGAGACGTATAGGGTTGCACTTTCAAGAAACGGTGTGTCTGTGTTTCAAAGAGAGGCCAAATGGTTAAGCGGCTGGTCTGTATTGAGTCGCGAGTGGAATCCTTGGACAGGAAGTCCCTTCTGTGTAACGCCAAGAGCCTCAAAGGTGTCGTGTGTCCCGTTACCCTGGATTACACCTGTTGCTGATGAACATGTGCCAAAGGCAAGGTAAAGAAACGAGAGACCAGCGTCAGTCGTGTGTAGCTGCCAAGGAAAGCAGGTGGCACTGTGTTGAATTAAGCTTATTTTAGTTTGCTTGGGTTGAACCCAGGGTCCCCAGTGTACAGCTCACGTACTGCTCCCTTCTACTGTGTCGCCTTCATTTACCACATACATCAATGCATTATTACTGTTATTATGTCTTTTACTTCCTGCGTGGCAAACAGGCAACACTATTTTCATGTGTAAATCAGTTAGCAAGTCTCCCCTGCTCAGTGGTGGAGTGTGTACTGTGCATGCATTTGCCCACAGTTTCCAATCTTTGACCTCACCTGTTGAATTATTTTCAATACAGGGGCTGGGGGTGAGTGGGGATGGCAGCTCCACTTGGTAAACTGCTGGAGGGTAGGCAGTACTGTGGGCCGATGGCAAGAATATAAGGCATATGAGATTCAACTTCCAAAAGCAGCCACACAGTTAGCACGCACCTGAATCTGTTATCAGAATCTTCAAAGTTCCTATGGCGGGCTATCAGCATTCCCAGTGCTCCAAGCCTTTAGTAACTGCTGGTGCCTGCTTGCTGAAATAGAAAGATATAGGAAGTACAGCCAGGGATTTATTTATTTCAGATGTTTCTGAGCTAGCTGTCAAGCCTATAGCTTCCCCAAAGCTGCTTCTGTTAATAACAAATGAACAGTTTTCTTAAACAAACACGGAAACATAAAAATTGCAACCCTACAGCTGGTTTAAATGTACTGTATAAAATCAACACCTGTAAGAAAAACAAAACAAAACACCCAATTAGCTCCTCTAAAATGAAGCATTTCATTAAAAGCCAAGGAAAACAAGTGGGTATTAAAAAAAAAAACAAAAAAACTCTGAACCAAAGGAGTCAGCCATATAGCCCTTGGGAGGAAATTGCACAGAAGAGGGGCCACCACGAAAAAGGCCTAAATTGATCTCGGAGCCAGGTGCCTCTGAAGTTGGTCTTAAAACTTCCGTTATTGGTAATATTTGGCCAAAGTCCTTGCTATGTTTCCTCTCCACCCAACTATATCCTGAAGTGAGAATCTCTTGCCTTGGAGCCTGAGCACCATGAACGGTTTGTTTTTAAAGTGCCTCAAAATGTTGATTTAGTTTCAAGTCTCTGCTCTGGTCTAGCCTGGAAGCATCCTACTATTTGCTTAATGAAGACTGCTGCTCAAATCCCGTGTATCTGTTTGCCTGTTCTAGGGAAAGGTCGATACGGTGAGGTCTGGAGAGGACAGTGGCAAGGAGAAAATGTTGCAGTAAAGATATTTTCTTCCCGAGACGAGAAGTCCTGGTTCAGGGAAACGGAATTGTACAATACTGTGTTGCTGAGGCACGAAAACATTTTAGGTGAGCGATATTTTCTTAATGGCTTTTGTATACAGATAAGGGCGTGGGGAGCGTTAAAAAAGACCTGGACCCTGAGTCTACTGAACGCTGTAGTGCAAGGCTTTCTCCACCCCCTTAAGTTTTTATCCACCTTCATCAAGAAAAACTTGACTCCTGCAGAAATATATCCTTGCATTCGGTTTTCTCTTAGCAAAACCATACTCATGAGCATGATTCCCCCACTGACCAAATACCATATGTGCACCATGATAAAAATGTTTTTAAGTATACCTCTGTGTAATCCTATGTATTAAGCATTACAGTGGTACCTTGGGTTAAGTACTTAATTCGTTCTGGAGGTCCATACTTAACCTGAAACTGTTCTTAACCTGAAGCACCACTTTAGCTAATGGGGCCTGCTGCTGCTGCCGTGCTGCCGGAGCACGATTTCTGTTCTCATCCTGAAGCAAAGTTCTTAACCTGAAGCACTATTTCTGGGTTAGCATAGTCTGTAACCTGAAGCGTATGTAACCTGAGGTACCACTGTATGTCATTTCAGTACACATTTCCATTGCAAATAAGATGAAGCAGACTCTTAAAAACAGACTATATTTGCTAGAGATGGGGAACATTTCCCAGCCCACCAGCCTCATCCTGTCATGGGCAACCATCTAGGGACTGTGTGCTGGTGGTTGGTTGGGACCAGAGACATAGCAACTGATGCGGTTCTTAAATGTTGTACATTCCAACCCATGCAAAAATTTCTAACTGCCCCCCATGTATGTGTGCATACATATACTAGCATCGTATCTGTCCATCCAGGCAAGCAATAAGTATCACATTTTAAAGACACATTCCAGGCAGGTGAAAGCACTTGAGGAGCGCACAGGATGAGGCTGTTGTGCGGTTTGTCCTTCAGAGGAGCTGTGGTTTGTGGCTTGCCCCTGTGGGTCTGAGGTTCCCTATCCCCATGGAGTACATCCAGAAGAGACCATACATTTAAAGCAGTACCGTACCACTTTAATCTGCCATGCCTTCCCCCAGAGAATCCTGGGAGCTGTAGTTTGTTAAGAGAACTAAGAGTCCCCTGTTCCCCTCACGGAGCTACAATTCCCAGAGTTCCCTGGGACGGAGGATTGACCGTTAAGCCACTCTGAGGAGTGTAGTTCCGTGAGGGGGAGTAACAACTCATGGCACCTTAACAAACTACAGCTCCCAGGATTCTTTGGAGGAAGCCACGATCCTGCTTTAAATGCGTAGTGCAGCTGAGGCCTTGGTAGGCATGGGTTCAGAGTACTGGCAGTAACGGACTTGTATGTGCATTGCCATTTTGTAGGCGCCTTTTCAGTCAGCAAGCTAAGATTGTGGGTTTGAAAGCTAGAATTTAACACTGAGGAAAACGACGCTGCAGCCTGCATCTTGCATGGCCTAATTCTGGAGAGAGTTTAGATAGTGGGGGGAAGGAAACCCCTGATCGTTCACCTGGTGTTTCTTCTCCTTCTTTCAGGGTTTATTGCCTCAGATATGACCTCTCGGAATTCCAGCACTCAGTTGTGGCTAATCACCCACTACCATGAGATGGGCTCTTTGTATGACTATCTGCAACTCACGACGCTCGACACAGTGAGCTGCCTGCGGATAGTCTTGTCTATAGCTAGTGGCCTTGCACATTTGCACATAGAGATATTTGGGACCCAAGGGAAACCTGCCATTGCTCACCGAGACTTGAAGAGTAAAAATATCCTGGTTAAGAAAAACGGACAATGTTGCATAGCAGACCTAGGTGAGTGGTTTTCCCTTCTCCTTCTTTTTTGCATTTTAAATATGCAGTCCTCAAATAACCCGATGCAATTCTTGAGGACCTTTCTTTATTTGGATTTAAGAGTTGATTGGGGGGGAATTGTTCTTCATCCACTAGAGGGCGCACATCATTTTTAAGTCTCGCTCCTGTCTGCAGAATCTTGCATACTGTTTTCTGATGTTGTTTGTACAGCCCTGTAAAAGATATCCTTCATACATGGTTTTAGAGACACATGTGTTGGAGTAAATAAAAAATCAGGAGGGGAAGAACCACCAGTGGCATCATGAATGAAGGCTTTTTTCTCTTCAAGACACCAGCTAGAGTATTTGCTACCACTGCCATTGTGTGGTTCTAGGTTTCAGCTTAGAGTCCAGGGCCCAACTGTGATTATAGCTTCCTTTGAACCCAGCCTGTTGTCTTTTGGGATAATGTTCTGACTTGTTGGGGTTGATATTTCCCAACACCTCCCAGGTCCAGTTTAACACTGCCACCTACTGGCTTAAATTAAAGTGTGGGTTGGCCATTCTGTGGTAGAGGCATCAGGGATTTACGGCACTTCTAAGGCAGAAGCAGGCGAGCCTGTGAACCTGGCTTTTGGATTGTCATGCTCACACTCTTGCCTTGCCCTCCCATACTGCACTGCTCATTAGATGGGAGCAAAACCACCCCAGGTCCATGGGGATTGTGGGTAATAGAAGCATCCGCACTGCAGATCTGCACTGGCACTATCACATGTAGGGCTGAGGATTGGAGTGATCATCCTGTGATATTATGGCAGTGGACAAAGCTGCATTGCGACTTTTGAATGTTTTATTATCAAAAAAGAAAATGCAGCATGGAATCTCTTATGTCTCCTATCAGAAGGGCAATCCCCGTATTCACCACATCTAGACAGGACACTTTAAACTATGAATAAGCCAAGGGACCTTATGTGTGATATATTATTTGCACTGCCCAAATGATAGCCTGTCAGTTGGATTACCCTGTCCCATGCAGGATTGTATCTTTCTGAAAACTTTGTATGCATGGATCTTGCAATCCCTTTGAATTTATATGGGGCTGCTTAGTTACTGTATACAGTTGTCCCCTTCAACAAAGATTTAATTGGCATATCTGAGATACAAAGTAAAGATGTTTTCACTTTTAAGTGCTCCATGTTGCCCAGCAATATTTATATTGATGGATGGGCTCATGAAAGGTCTGTTTGTCTGGCCTTTGCTTTACTGTAAACTGTCATTCGTTTTTCGGTGGTGGTTAGTTTACTTACTTAAAATTGCTGCTATTTGAAGGCTGCAGTGTAATATATATCAATTTTAAGCTATTTGGTGGTTGGAGCAGAATGCAAACTGTGTAGAGTAGTTTGCATACTGTATTTTTTTAAGGTGTTTACTTTCTGGTGACCATATGTGTCTGTGGTTTATTTTTGGAAGGTGTTTGATTTGACCCATTTTTACGGTCACAGCTGTCCTTGCGTTAGCCTTCGCTGCACTTTTGGTTCCATCAATTTCCTCAAAAGCTCACCTTGAACCTTGGGAGTTAAGATTTATCCCCCCCCTTATAGCAGATGTGTGAAAAGGATAATGGCTATGTAGCACTCAGTCTGCTGGACCACAATATATTCCCACCACATAAACGCTAGTCTAGTGGTGTTGTGTTGTCGCTGCTTAGATTTGCTACGACTAGGTGTTGTTGCTTTACAAAGGCCTTCCTAATCTCTTAGAGTAGGTATAGGGGAAAGGGCCATATCCCAGTGCTTACCATGCAGGAGGTCTCATGTTCAAAACCATGACACGATGGCACTTTGTAGCTGAAAAATACATGGCAATGGTAACAGGTGGGCTCCCCTCAAGCTGAAAGACCAACACTGACTTCACAGCTCTTCTGTTTGCAATTACAGGCCTTGCAGTCATGCACTCCCAAAGCACCAATCAGTTGGATGTAGGAAACAACCCCCGTGTGGGTACCAAGCGCTACATGGCGCCAGAAGTCTTAGATGAAACCATCCAAGTGGACTGCTTTGACTCTTACAAACGGGTTGATATCTGGGCATTTGGACTGGTCCTTTGGGAAGTAGCCAGGCGTATGGTGAGCAATGGTGAGTATCTGTTCCTTTCTAGAATTAGTTGCATTAATCCACTGGCCACTAAAGGTGAAAAGCTTCTCTTGTATCTTCCTTAGTAGTAGGTGGTTTCAAGTTTTCTCTCCTGGTATTTGTGCCTTAAATTGCACTGAACTCCTACCTACTTTGCAGGATTTGGGCTGCCGCTTTTCTTGATGTGCCTCTCCCCCCCCCCATATACTATTTCAAATTGGGTGTGTGTGTGTGTGTGAAAGTAGGTACTTTATGAATTCCAAGTCAAATTCCAATGTTCTTTATTACGTTCGCCGCCAACTGCATTAAAAAAAAAGTGAGGTGATATACAGAAACTCATAGATCACAACAGATTTCTCAGCTTATGACAGTGGGTCAAAGCTGTTCAGATTACCCCACTTGCCTTTACAACATCTCTGTTTAAGCATTCATTCATTCAGTTTATATAGCTGAAACTTAAACATGGGACCACACTGAGGCGTACCTTAAATGATCAGGAGGGGGGCAGCAAGTTCTGTAAGGGGAAAAGCTGGTACTCCTCCAGATGTTTTGGGCTGTATCTCTCACCAGCCCCAGTCAGTAAACACTTTCCTTGATAATTAACATTTCACTGCTAAAGTTCTAAGTAAGGAAAGGAAATCCCCTTGGGGTTTCATGGAATCCCATGCCTGTGGCAGGGAGAATTCATCCTTGCAGCAACATGGCTTAAGGAGGATTGCTTTGCCTTCCTACTGAGGCATGGCCTGACAGCGGAATAATGGAGATGGATTTGCCATGGAGAAGACTCCTCTTTTCTTTTCTTTTTGGTAGCATCAGCTTTTTTTCTTTGCTTTTTTTTGGTAGCATCAGCACTAGTACAGGGTCGGTGGCATTTTAAACATTGTACAATCTCAATTATCTATATGGTATAGGAGTTCTTTGAAGTAAAGCTGTTTAAAAGAACAGTGTACTGAATCCTAAGGCATCTGTAGAAGTGAGAATACATTTTAAGACCAATTGGAGCAGCACCCTATTGGAAAGTTCAAAAGTAGTACGTGGATCATTCTTACATGCTTATTGGCGGACATTTTGTTTTGCGGATGTGTGTAATAAGCTTTCAGTGATCACCTTTCTTAGCTCTCGGAACCCTTGGAGGGTTGTATGGGAGCCACACGCCAGAGGCAATGGCTGTGACTCTTTCTTTGTACTGCTGGGCACATTCCAGCTACAGAAAAGTCAGAGGCCTCGCTACACTTGCACTCACTTGGACCTCTCCATCCTCTATCAAGGCAAGAAAGAGCCATGATCACAGTTCTTTCCAGGGACAAAAGCACTCAAGGACAGCACCGAGCAAATCTTGTGGGTAGAGTGACCTTGGGAAAGGGAATGGCTTGGGTGGAGTTTTGAGGGCTGATCAGAGAGGCTTGGAGGGCTGGATTTGGCCCGCAGGAGTGAGTTTCCTCCCCCTATTTTAAAGTAGCAGCCAAGTATTGTGGAGATGAAAACAGGATCGTTCTCTCCCCTAACAAGAGTTGCTGTTTTTTAAGTGTGTGATAGGTCAGTTTCTCCCCATTTCTTTGGAAATATTACAAGACATGCAGGGATCAGTACAGTTTGTTTCACATTCAGTTGCTTGGTTTCACGTTCCATCCTGTGTCCGTACAAGCGCAGCAGTGGTTTTCCACCCGGATTTTCCTCTGCCAGTCAAAAGAGCAAGCTCCCCAACTCAAGGCAGCCCCATTCATCATTGAAGATGGTACCTGTTTTCAGCTTTCACTTTCCCTGCTTTTATGGAGAAAGGAGAACAAAGGTATACAGGGCAGCTCATGACATTCAAGAGGTAATGGAAGCCTCAGTGCAGCAAGCCTGGATGGGCTGGGAGGAACACATGGAGAATATGTGGCTGACACAGTACCTGTCGACCCAGGATGGCCATTGCTTATTCTTACATTTATATCCCACCTTTCTTCCATTATGGAACATACATTTGTTTCCCAAGTGGTCTCCTATCCAGACACTGACCAGACTTACATATCTTCAGAAAGGTGGTGACCTTCAGAGCATACACAGACAGCCATACTTTGCTTCCAGAAAAGTAGCCATAGAGTTGATGATGGTCATGCATAGCCAGTCATCATTTTGCATGTTCCTTAATAGCACCTTGGCTTTAAAAGGTTCATTTTGCCCCCACGGAAAGGTGAGTGAGTAGGGATTGAGTGGAACATAGGACAAAATTCACCTGGAAGGTGCTGCCAGAACCTGTTGTGTGAAATGGACAAGGGGGAATTCCACACTGGTATGGGTCCTCCTAGAACCGTTAAATGACCAATCTTCTTTTGTGCCGAACAAAATCAGAGAAACACAGCATCACCTATTGTTCATCTATAGAGAACTCTCAAGTTTCCGAGTGATTTCTCAGAAACATGGTGAAGTTAGGGCAGGCATAGGCAAACTCAGCCCTCCAGATGTTTTGGGACTTCAACTCCCACCATCCCTGACCGCTGGTCATGTTAGCTAGGTATGATGGGAGTTGTAGTCCCAAAACATCTGGAGGGCCGAGTTTGTCTATGCCCAAGTTAGGGTGTGCCTTGGATCCAAATGAATCAAGAACCCCTGAAACAATTTGTGGCATCTTGGAGGTGCGGACATGGAGGAAGTGACAGACAATGATCTACTAAAAGCAAATCCAAACCAGAATTTCCACTATGATTTTGGAACCTTCAGAGGAGGCACTCAGACTGCTGCCGCCTTTTTTCAGTCCAGGGGTCAGCTGCTCTTGTTCCTCCTCACTGTCTAAGCATACCAGGACTAGAATTGAGGATGAGATGAGGGTGCATTTCCTCTCATCTCCTGCAACATAGGTTAGAATTGTTGAGCCTTAAGTTCTCTGTTTATCACTGGTTTTATGGATTATATTTCATTAGTTCAAAGACATTTCTGTTTAAAAATAATCCATTTTATTCTGGTTGAATAGAAGGAAACTATGGCAGGGTTCATTATGACAGTGTTATGACAGTGTAGATCAGAGGTTATGGTGACTTTCTTCAGTAGGTCTGGTGCCAGAAGCAGCCCCATAGGAGCCTTAAAACTTTGGCTTTGTTAATTGTATTTTTTAAAAACACACACCAAAAAAACACATTGGAGTAAAAGCCAAACAGCTTCTTCTTCTTCTACTGTAATACAGTCAACAAGAAAGTTTAAAATATGCATAGGAATATTCAGTTGTATAAATGCAAGTCTCTGTTAGCGGGGATAGTGAACCCATCTCTGATGGGCCTTATTTGCCTGCCAAGCCACTTCCTTCTTCTTTAGTGATTGTCTTCCATGAACACGGTCTTCACAGTGAGTCCCTAAGTGACTGTGGAGGCCAGTTCTGGATCAACACGTCCCTCCACAGTGGGGACATAGGTTTCGAGCATCTTCAAAGCCCATGACACCTTTGGTAAAGGCTATCCTCCAATTGGAGTGCTCGCAGGCCAGTTTTTCCCAATTGCCAGTGTTTATACTACATTTGGGACACGGGTGGTGCTGTGGGTTAGACCACAGAGCGTAGGACTTGCTGATCAGAAGGTCAGCGGTCCAAATCCCCACGACGGGGTGAGCTCCCATTGTCTGGTCCCTGCTCCTGCCAACCTAGCAGTTCGAAAGCACATCAAAGTGCAAGTAGATACTTAGTCATGCTGGCCACATGACCCGGAAGCTGTATGCCGGCTCCCTTGGCCAGTAAAGCGAGATGAGCGCTGCAACCCCAGAGTCGGTCACGACTGGACCTAATGGTCAGGGGTCCCTTTACCTTTTATACTACATTTTAAAAGATTTGCCTTAAGAGAGTCTTTAAACCTCTTTTGTTGATCACCAGCATTATGCTTTCCAAGTTCGGAATAGCGTAGTTGCTTTGGAAGATGATAATTAGGCATCTGAACAAAGTGATCAGTCCAACGAAGTTGATGTTGAAGAATAATTGATTCTACACTGGTGAACTTTGCTTCTTCCAGTACACTGGCATTAGTTCACCTGTCTTCCCAAGTGATATATAAAATTTTTCAGAGATGGAATCTTTTGAGGAGTTGGAGATGGCGTTTATAAGTGGTCCATGTTTCACAAGCATACAGTAAGGTGGATAGTACAATAGCTTTGTAAACAAGCATTTTGGTATCCCTATGAATGTCCCAGTCCTCAAACACACTGCACTTCAGTCGGGAGAAAGCTGCACTTGTCGAGCTCAGGCAATACTGGATTTTACCATCAATGTCAGTCCTTGTGGAAAGATAATTGCCCAGGTAGGAGAAGTGATTGACACTTTCCAACATTACACCATTGAGTTGGATTTGTGGCGCTGCAGAGGGGTTGTTTTGTGCTTGTTGGTGCAGCACTTTGGTTTTTTGGATGTTGAGCGAAAGGCGAAGCTTTTCATTAGCTTCTGCAAATATATTTAGGATGGTTTGGAGGTCATCCTCTGAGTGTGCACACACTACGTTGTCATCAGCATACTGAAGCTCTATGACAGAAGTTATAGTAACCTTACTCTTTGCTTTCAGCCTACTCAGATTAAAGAGCTTTCCATCTGTTCGATGTATGATTTCTACTCCCGTGGGGAGTTTCCCTTCAACAAAGTGTAGGATCATGGCAATGAAAATGATAAATAGAGTCGGGGCAATAACACAACCCTGTTTAACGTCTGATCCCACTGTGACTGGTCCACTTTGAGAGCCGTTGTTATCTGCAATTGTTGCTGCCATGTTACTATGGAGGAGCCGAATGATGTTCACAACGTTATCTGGGCAGCCGATTTTCAGAAGGACAGTCCACAGGTCATTATGATTTACAGTGTTGAAGGCCATAGAGAGAGTGATAATTTTGGCATCTCTAAAGTCTGCTGGGATCTCCTCTCTCTTTCCCATATTTTTCGATGACATTGTGAAGTTCTTGTGTAAGTTCAGTTTTGCCCACTTTGAGGTATCCCATCAGATCCGCTGGCTTTGTTGTTTCTCATTTGGTTAATAGCTGTACACAACTCTCGCAGATTTGGAGATACTGCAAGCTCATCTCCAATTTGTTTTTGTGGAATTTGTGAGGGGACCTCAGCAGCTACAGGGGAGTTGTGGTTAAGGAGATGATGGTAATGTTCTTTCCAGCACTGTGCAATAGCTTCTTTATCATTTAGGAGTGTGGTACCATCTGTTGAGTGTAGGAGGCATATGCCATGATTTATTGTCCCATAGATGGTCATTGTGGCTTTAAAGAAACTCTGTAAATCATGAGTGTCTGCTAAATGCTGGATTGCTTGAGCTTTTTTTTATCCTCCAAGTGTTCTTTAGTTCTCTGGTTCTTCTTTGAACATCATCCTTAGCGCTGGCATAAGTTTTATTCTTATTGGCACACTTTCTATCTCTTTGCCAGATCTGAAAGGCCTTCCTTTTCTTGTCAATAATGCATTCAATCTCACTGTCATTCTCATCAAACCAGTCCTGGTGTTTCTTGGTTTAGTATCCAATAGTTTGTTCGCAGGCTGCAATAATGGATGTTCTGAGCTTGGTCCACTGTTCCTCAAAGCAGATAGATTGTCCTTAAGAGTCATTTGGAAGCAATCCCACTTAATAGGATCTTGAAGGGTTTGAGTGTTCATTTTGTGCCTTGGTTTCCTTCCTTGAAGCCTGCATCGAGGTATAATCTTGATAATCATTGTGGAACATATTAATCAGTGATCTGTCCAGCAGTCGTCAGCACTCGTACTAGCAAAATCAGGCATATTTTCTCATCTTTGCAAAGGGGTACCTTTTCTCCCTTTGGTAAAATACCACTGCTAGGTCTTTCTGATCAGGAGAAAGGAAGGACAGCTGCAGATTAGTTTAGATGCCAGCATGAATGCACAAGAATGGGATAAATGTGTGGCCAGTCCAAGTAAAAATAAATACGTAAGGATTTGTATGAGCTAAATTAAATGCAGAAATAATTTATGAACATCACCGCTAGGCTTTTAAGAGATTACCTTCTAGATTTCTACAATTTTCTATCAGAAGTGTTGCAACCCAGATAGATTGGTGGGATATTATTATTATTATTATTATTATTATTATTATTATTATTTAAACAAGTCACAACCAGGAAGAGAGCTTCCCTTGGCCGAGGATTCAGCATACATAGGTGAACTTAAGGGCCAAGGGAGAGAAAAACGCCATGAACCTTGTGCCTTAGTGCAGCTGGCAGCTGAATATGAGTGTTGGCATAGATACATGTGGCCTCACTGACCTGGCAGAAACGTGACTCATGTTGTATGTGCACTGCAGTGCTGGGTGGAGTTGCTGGTGGAGACACCAGGGGTCACCACCAGCTCTTGCCAGGTCCCTACTCTTGGGGATTTTATTTACATGTGTTGCCTATCCTATCCTGTGGACTTGTCAAAAATGATAGACGAGCCGTTGTCCCCAAAGGACTCTTCAGTAAGGCAGTAGATACAAAAGGCTGGCAAAGGAGGAGGCATTTAGAAGGAATTAATGCAGACTTGGTTAACCGTAAAAGAAAATTTCTATGCATTAGTGTCAAGTGTATTTACAACAGCATCTGATGTTACGGGTGTGAAGGTCATTTTGTTGTCTTGGTGGGCAAGAACATCATTAACCTGTTCAGGGAAGTTTTTAATGTTTGATGTTTTTAATATTTGATGTTTTATTGTGTTTTTAATATTCTGTTGGGAACTGTGCAGATTGACTGGGGCAACTCGGCCAGACGGGTAGCATATAAATCATCATATTAATCAGCATTCCTTCTACTACTTTTTCTGATTCTCAGGTACAGTGGTACCTCGCAAGACGAACGCCTCGCAAGACGGAAAACCCGCTAGACGAAAGGGTTTTCCGTTTTGGAGGCACTTCGCAAAACGAATTTCCCTATGGGCTTGCTTCGCAAGACGACAGCCCATAGGGAAATCTCCGGGACAGCGGGGAAGCGCAGCGCGTCTTCCCCGCTGTCCTCGGACCTCCTCCGAAGCCTGGCGGCGGGGCGGGGACACCTTCTCTCGCTGCCGCCAGGCTTCGGAACGATGCCCCGATGCCGGGCGGCGGGGCGGGAACCTCTCACCCCGCCGCCCGGCATCGGAACGAGGTCCTGGACCTCTTCTGAAGGCAGGCGGGGGCAAAAGTCTTTGTCCCCCCTGCCTGCCTTCCCAGGGGCTTTTAAATCGCCCCGGACAGCGGAGAAGTCCTCCGCTGTCCCGGGCGATTTTAAAATGCCGCCCGCCAGCATTTTAAGATCGCCCCGGACAGCGGAGACGTCCTCCGCTGTCCCGGGGTTTTTTAAAATGCTGGGGGTGGGAAGAAAGGCCCTTGTCCCCCCCCCCAGCCTTCAGAAGAGGTCGGGGGACAGACTGTCCCCGGACCTGGTATGAAGGCGGTTTCCCTAGCAACGCATTAATTGATTTTCAATGCATTCCTATGGGAAACCGTGCATCGCAAGACGAAAAACTCGCAAGACGAAGAGACTTGCGGAACGAATTAATTTCGTCATGCGAGGCACCACTGTAGTACCTTGTGAGTCTAGATTTGCCAGATGTCCAGGTTTTATTGGGAAATTCCCCAGATACGAATGAATGTTCTTTCAGTGGCAAAAACTTTCAGGATCAAGTTATAAACAGACAAAAGCAATCCTAACACATGCACAAATCGTTATCATTGCTGAACTGTGTAAACAAATAGTTGTCAATATAGAGTATATAATGAGTCATTAAGCTTTGAAAGGCAATGACATAAATGATCCGATGTGCTAATTTATTTTCTGTTGTTACTGATTTTTCCCCCTCTAGTAAATCTCAATCCTGTCCTTTCTTTCAAAGGATTCCAGGAAGCAAATAAACAAAATAGTATTTTTTTTAAAGTATGCCTGTCTGACTGACTGTCTGTCTGCATGTTTTCTTAAATGTAGATGGAGCAAAATATCACTCAAAGGGACATTTCTGAACATTTCTGAATTCCTTCCTGGATTATTCTTGCCAAGTTTCCCCCCCCTCTTTCCTTAATAGTATGAGATACAATGACTTGCTCATTGTTCAAAATGACTAAGGTGCTTTTAAAATGGAATACTGTAGGTAGGCATTTTATTTTTGTTTCCCAAGTAGCATCCAAGATACCCTGGTTTAATTTTATGGTTAAATCACACAGTGCAAAATAAATCTCGTATTTGCTGCCAGCATACCAATGAAACTCATCTTGATACTTGGAAGATGGTTTTAAACAGGTTTTTAGGGAGCCTGATGCCTGGCATAGAATTGGGGTTCATTCTATTGTTTTCTGAATGACTGCCCCATCCCATTCTGATTTTCCACAGGCCCTGTGTTGTCTAGTGTGGATTTAGAAGCATATGTGTACTGTACTGGAATCTTGAGTTCTTCTGTTCTTTCTCCCCCCACCTCCCCTCTGTCTCCAGATTATTTACCAAGACTCTGCAGCCTTGTTTGTGACTGTATTTGCCTTCTGTACATATGTTTTTCTTTGCAGAGTAAGGAACTGCATTCTAACCCACAGGGAGAACTGGCTGATTAATGTCTTGATTGTATTGTGCTATTAGAAATTCATTTCATAATATCGGTGAGATGTCACAAGGACTTAGCTTTGGCTAAGGCTCCATGCTATGTAATAATGCACTGAACTTTGTCTCGCTAATGAAGATTCTGAAACGTATCGATGCAACTACAGGATCTATGTTGTGTTTTGGCCGTAGGTATTGTCGAAGACTACAAACCTCCATTTTATGACGTAGTGCCTAATGACCCCAGCTTTGAAGACATGAGAAAAGTGGTCTGTGTGGATCAGCAGAGGCCAAACATTCCCAACAGATGGTTTTCAGATCCTGTAAGTGCCCAGCCCATCACATCCTGCTATATTTCTTATAGATCATCTTTTAAAAAACAAAACGACCTCTGCTATTGTGTTCCTAAACCTTGGGGATCCATATGGGATTGGGCTACAACTCCCATCATCTCCAGCCAGCTTAGCCAGAGGTCAGGCATGATGGCAGTTGTAGTCCAGTAACATCTAAGGACTCAAGGCTGAAGAACATTTGTGTGTTCCTAAAAGGCAATGTATGTGCCCTTAAGAATGGGTTTACTCTTAAGGGACAAGGCTTAAGGGACATGGGGTGCATGGTCACAGAAATTAATCCAGCTATTATTTTTCTCAGGGTGGTTTGGGGGCTAACTACGTAACAGTGATGCCAAATCATTAAGCTTCAATCACTATAGAAGGGGGTGGGGAAACCTTTTTGGCCTTGTAGGTGATGTTTGACAGGTGTGTGGGAGTGCTCATCTGCCGCTCAGACAATGTCAGTATGACACAAGACTTGACAGGTGGGCTGTCCCGCCTACTGCTCAAAGCTTTGCCTCCCCTCTCCCCTTCCCTGCTACAGCAGTGGCAGGGGAATGAAGGAGCAAAGATTCCCCTTTCTTTCACCTCCTTTCGCCCCTTTCTTTGACTGCGCACACCTGTTTCCTGAGCAGAATTTAACCCCTGTTTGTCATGAGTAGGGGGTTGAGCAGGCATAGGCAAACCCCGACCCTCCAGATGCTTGGGACTACAATTCCCATCATCCGTAGCTAACAGGACCAGTGGTCAGGGATGATGGGAATTGTAGTCCCAAACATCTGGAGGGCCGGAGTTTGCCTATGCCCTGGGGTTGAGTCTTGCTGCCTTGCCTGTAAGAGCCTCTTTCCTGCTGGGAACAGGCATTTCCAGCCATGCAAGATTAATCATGCCCTTTAGCCCATCAGCTGACATCATCAGTGATGTCACCTGGTTGGTGGGTGTGGTTTGCAGAAAACTGCTTTGCATGTTTATTTGGACCCCTTGGCAGGCCAAGAATGACCCAGGACTGGTTGTTCCCCACCTTTGGACTACAGTTTGGTGTGGTGTCTGAAATGATCTTATATAGATTCTTGAAGTCTACTGAGATTTGCATGGACAGTGTTTCAAAACTTGATCTGATCTGAACACCCATCTACCTTTCCTTTTCAGACGTTAACTTCCCTTGCCAAGTTGATGAAAGAATGCTGGTACCACAACCCATCAGCCAGATTAACAGCGCTGCGTATTAAAAAGACTTTGACCAAAATCGACAATTCCTTAGATAAGCTCAAAGCTGACTGTTGATAACCAACACCTGATGCTGACAGGACATCATGGCTTGTGTCCAGCATGGAAGAGTGTCTTGATGAACTCTAGGATCCGGCCACAAGTGGCTTCAAACAGAGGCAGAGTTGTTTACCTAACCAGCCATTGAAAAGGAAATAGACCCATGTGAGCCTTAATCGGTGACTGTCCGTGGTATTTTACAAATGGCCAATCTGTAAAGACTTAATGCTGAATCTATGGTGGCCTATGGAAGGAAGGAAGGAAAGAAGAGAAGTCCTAAGACAAAACTGGGGCATTAAAACCATGGCTTTTTATTTTTATTTCATGAAAAGAAAGAAAAAGGAAAGTGTCTCCTTTTCTCGCTCCCAAGTGGAAGTGGTCAATTCGAATCAGCAATATTGCCTGCGCTTCTCTTTATTGCACTAGGGATTCCTTGCATTCCTTACTTGCACTGTTACGGTTTAATTTGAAAGACATGACTTGCCAAAAATATGATTGGCCCTGTACTCATTCATATGTTTTTTTTAAAAAAAAATTAATAATAATGGGAAATCCAATTTGGGAAATTGAACTTGTAACTGACTCTTTTTATTATTATTTTAAAGCTGCATTTTACATATGTGTACCGTTTACAATAATGCTGGACGCTAGGAATTATTGTTTATATGGAAACTGCGAACTTTTATTTATTATTAGTGCACTTAACAGTTTTAAAATACTGAGGAAAGTGCGAATAGTTAAAAGCTTATTTTTATGTGGCTTCTATCATTTATTTCTTACAGACGTATTTTTTTTGGGGGGGGGAGGTTTAACACGGTATAACCTGAAATGGTCCTTCTCCCTGCCCCCCCATATTATCAGTTATACACTTTAATCACCTTTTTTAAAGTGCTTCACATTTTATATGCGTGTGGTCTGTAACATATATTTTTCAGTTCAAAATAAGCGGAACATTTATATATAAATATTATATAGATATATATATCTCTCTTAAATATAAAGCCATTATCCAAATGATGCCACATCTAGTACCTTATTGATCCTACAGAAAGGGGAGCAGCAGCAGCAGAAGAAAATGGCAGAATGGTAGGCCATGGATCGTATTATGGGAAAGTGCATTTTTCTTCTTCTAAGCTATATACGTAATGTGCATATGAACTCTACCGGGGCGAGGAGAAAGCTATTTTTTAAATTTTACTTCCTTTTTTTGTATTTAGCAGTTATTTGTATAAATGACATAGAATATTTTCAAGTCAAATGGAAAGAAAATGTCCCCTCGTTCTGTTAGTGCCTCTTGTGGTTCGAGGTAAACGCCGTAAAGTTTTGCATCACCAGCGTATATCCACTGATTATCTTCTCCCTGCCTTTGCTGTTTCTGCAAGTCAGAGCAGTGTCAACAAACTGGTGGTGTAGGACAGAACGCCACTGAAAAACACCAGAGAGATTCTTCATAAAGGTGATGCTGATTTTGGGTGCCGGGCAGTTGTTGTTGGGGAGCTGGGGTCTGTGCTGGAGCAATGACCTCGCAAGGACACAAATTATTGTGTGATGATGTATGAACAAATCAGATCATGCTGTTCTGACCGTGGTGTTTTTTGTTTTTTTTAAAAAAATAATAATCTTGAGTTTCCTGAGTAAAGAGTTTTGATCTGAGTGCCTTGCCTTATAACTGTGTAGCTGTTCTCCCTGTGGAGCCCTCATAGTGAAAACGATGGATGCTGAATGTAAGTGGCTGTCCTAACAACCGTTAAACCAGCACGATGCCTCGAGCTTAGGAAACGAGCTGAATGGACTTTGTTCCAAACGAGACAGGGCCCTGTTGTAGCTTCCATTTCCCCTGTTCTCCTTCAGATTGCTTTACGAAAGCTCTTTTGGGAGAAGTGTTGTAAGAGCTTTGATTTGTGCGCCTTTGCTCCATGGAACACTGCTGCGCCTGTCACTGAATACAGGGGGGCGGGAGGATATGGGGTTGTTTCCAACTCGGTTCTTCTTAGAGTTGGACCCATTGAACTTGATGGAACTCAGTCATGCTCTTAGTTTCAGCCGGTCTACTCTGAGCATGTCTAACACTGGCTGCAAACCATGGCCCCTCTTCTGGGACGGGGTTAGGTGTGCCATGATTTGCTGGGCTGGAAACTGAATTGGTAATATGATCTGGTCACACGTTGCGAAGAAATGCTGGGAAGAGTCTGGGTTTGGATGCATTTGTCCCTAAGGTTTCCAGGGTGTTGAGATGAAGTTTGGTATTTGCTTGGAGAATGATGGCTTGCCGCAAAAAGTTTCATCCTGCTAAAAATAATAAATGATGATAAGGAAACTGGGGGCGGGTGGAGGAGAGGAGAAAAAAATCTCCTCCTGTCTAGTTAATCAGAGTGAACTTTTCCATGTGTTGGTGGGTGAGCCAGACTACCTATCTATATTTAAAAAGCAAACTTCTAGTTCTTCTACCATTTGTATGGTTAATTTGAAATAACCTAATTTGTGAATGTCTTCTTAATGATGAGGTCCTCTTTTAACAGTATGAAAGTCTTCATCAAGGAAAGTGATATTAAACATTTTTAAATGAATTGTGGGTGTTCTGGCACATCTGTACTACTGCTTCAAGTTTGCTTACTTAGTAGTACAATATCTACTGCTTGTTAGTGGCAAGTTAAGTGTTTGCAGGATTGCTAATGCATGGTAGAAACATGGGAAGTGTCAAGGAATAGTACAAGCACAGCAGGACTGTGTTGGAGGACATAAAATTGCATCTGTTTAGAGGAGGCTCAATTGCCCAGCAATAATAAAATGTGTGTGGACATAAATTCTGCCTTAAACCCTGATTCTGGTAATCCTATGATGGGCTAGGCTAGCAGTTCCTTCTATCCCTTATCAAAAATGTTTCCTTTAAAAAAACCAAATTCAGCACTCATTCTTCTTTATTCAGTGCACTTACACCATGATTATTTGATACCCTACACCACAGGAACAAGCATGTCAGCTAAGGGTGTGTACAATTCCTTGGGAGAGTGAAGTTCTAATTGATGCTTGAGAAATTCAATTTCTTTGAATTCCAATGTGAACAGATCTGATCTGCGCTTCCTGGGCTGATGTACATATTGGAATGTGGTTATCCTTTGGATTTCACACTTCTCTGAATTTTGCAATAAAGTTCTCCACTCAAAAAATCAATAACAATATGTGTTCTTAAAAAATGTGTATTTCAAGATGAAATGCTTCTGAAAATACGTTGAGAAATGTGTGCATTCAGGTAAAATGTTGTCAATGGCAAGAATACATGGAATAAACTGGGAAAGTGTTGGGATCACAAATGGATAAGCCGTTAACAAGCAAAGTCTGCCAGAGTACAATGTTCAAAACTTACAAAATGACAGTGGTCGGGTAGAAATTGCCTTTTGACTGGCAGAGTAGAGCAGTTTTCCCCCTTCATATTGGTTACTCTAGATGGATATTGCAATTGCTCATATTGCAAAATAGATATAAAAATAGAACTTGAGGTCCAGTGAAAGGGAGGGAAAATATTATTGTTCAATGTCTACAGATTAAAGCACTGAGTTCGGGGGGCTTTTTTTTAAGAAAAAGAAGAAACAAACCAACTTGGCTAGCTAATTCTGAAACCTCTGTAGCTTGCATTTGACACATTGATAGCTTTAAAGCCCCCCCCCCCCCGGAAATATTGAATTGCTTGGTTCCATAGTATTGGACATTTGAATAAAAATAGGCAGGTGGCCACACTAGTTTTGATGATTTGAGCAGGAGTGGAAGAGGGAAGACAAGTGTAAAGTTGCATTCATTTAAACCTGGTGTTAAAATGTATTGCTTTTTTTAAAAAAACCTGTGTTAACTTGGTGGCTTGAACTCTTGCTGTACAGTATTTTTTAGCAGTAATGTGTGGTCGTAGCATTCTTCAATTTAGGTTACTTTAAATCAATAGATATAACAGTGATAAAGTGACCTTGCAATTTTTCAGGAAATCCCTCTTGCCTCTTAAAAGGTAAAGGTACCCTTGATCATTAGGTCCAGTCGTGACCGACTCTGGGGTTGCAGCGCTCATCTCGCTTTATTGGCCGAGGGAGCCGGCGTACAGCTTCCGGGTCATGTGGCCAGCATGATTAAGCCGCTTCTGGCAAACCAGAGCAGCGCACGGAAACATCGTTTACCTTCCCACTGGAGCAGTACCTATTTATCTACTTGCACTTTGATGTGCTTTTGAACTGCTAGGTTGGCAGGAGCAGGGACCGAGCAACGGGAGCTCATCCTGTCGCGGGGATTCGAACCGCCGTCCTTCTGATCAGCAAGTCCTAGACTCTGTGGTTTAACCCACAGCGCCACCCGCGTCCTGTCTCTTGCCTCTTACAGACCTACAATTTTTTGAAATCCTTGGGAAGTGGAATTGACTGTTAAGCCACACAGAGAATTGTAGCTATGGGAGGGGAATTGGTGCCTCTTAACTGTCAGCACCCTTAAGAAACTACAGTTCCCAAGATTCTTCGGGGTGGGGGAGGTATAATACTGCTTTAACTGCATAATGCTGATGGGGCCTATATTTGCCCTTGTTTCCTAATGATGCAAGCCTGCTTTTATTTCTGAAGAGGATTGTTTTCAACTTTCAGTTCTTGCAGCTGAAATGGTTAGGGGTGCAGGGCTGTTCACAAGTGACAAAATAATTAATCTCCCTTAAAAAAAGAAAACTTGTTAAATGGGGTCACTTGTATTAACCAGGGCAGCCATTGCATTGTGTGTCTTAACCACTAGATGTTAAATAAGCTGATGGAAGTACCATATGTGGTAAATGTATTATCACATTCTCATAAAGGATTATATCAGAAATGGGGAACTTGTGGCTCTCCAGATGTTCATAGTTCCAGAACATTGGCCATGCTGGCTGGAGGGCTGATGGGAGTTGTAGTTGAACATCTTCTGGAGGGTCATGCCCCAGGTTATATGGTGCCTGTGGTCCAACTTAAATGCCAAGCAATTGTCTTTTCTTAGCTGTTGTTGTTTAGTCGTGTCCGACTCTTCGTGACCCCATGGACCAGAGCACGCCAGGCACTCCAGTCTTCCACTGCCTCCCGCAGTTTGGTCAAACTCATGCTGGTAGCTTCGAGAACACTGTCCAACCATCTTGTCCTCTGTCGTCCCCTTCTCCTTGTGCCCTCCATCTTTCCCAACATCAGGGTCTTTTCCAGGGAGTCTTCTCTTCACATGAGGTGGCCAAAGTATTGGAGCCTCAGCTTCACGATCTGTCCTTCTAGTGAGCACTCAGGGCTGATTTCCTTCAGAATGGAAAGGTTTGATCTTTGCAGTCCGTGGGACTCTCAAGAGTCTCCTCCAGCACCATAATTCAAAAGCATCAATTCTTCGGCTGTAGTAGGTGATATAGCCTTTCCACTGATGTGCACTGTTTTGTGTTCAAGCTTTATGTCTCCTCTTGTTTCTCTGTTCATTCTCCTCATGGCCCTTCTTTGCACTGGCACTTGCAAAACCCTTTTCCCCAATCACCACACATGGGGAAAGCACGCTTGCAGAAAATGAGCTGGCCACCAGAAACTTTCCAAAACAAATACACTGATAAGTAATGTGTCTCATAGGGGAAATCAATAGACCATTATTTTCAAGATGCCAGTCAAACAAAATCGTTCTAGGCTCCAGAGTCCAAGGTTTATTCCCTAAGCAAGCTGGAGCAGATAGGCAGAGCTGTAAATCTTGGGAGGGAAGTTTTCATAAAGAGAAGATTGCAAGCAGCCAATGAGGAGGCAGCATTTTAAGGACGCCTCTTTTGAGTTGCACAGCAGTGCAGGAGCATCTTCTGGGAACTGAGATGAATGCTTCAAATGGATGGTAGTAATGGATTCCTAGCTCTTTAATGCAATGGGTAGTATGAAGTGTTTGTTTATTATTGACCAAATTTTCTATTTTGCAAGAACTCCTAGAGCGTTGCATTTTTTAAAAAGTGTGCAACCTTGGACATTGTCAGCATGCACCTAAAAGTGTGACTGTGGTCAACGCTGGATTGGAGGTATTATACAGGGAAACATGACAGTATGTAGCTTCCTGTGGACCATAGCTTTTCCTCAGCTGAAGGTGTGAAATGGCCATTCTTTGTTTACATAAGAACATAGGAAGTTGCCTTATACGGAATCAGACCATCGGTCCATCTATCTCAGCGTTGTCCCCTTTGACTGGCAGTGGCTTTGCAGAGTTTCAGATGGGACATTACCAGCCCTTACCTGGAGATGCCCTTGGGAATTGAACCTGGAATCGTCTCCAAGCCAAGCAGATTCTCCACTATGTCCCTTTGTCCCTACTCCAATATATATCATTCAGACTAGATGTTCAGTGGTGCCATTTTTATTCAGCTGAATTTGAAGTATTTACTTAAAAGTTCCCAACGGCTCCTTTCAATGTGGAAAAGTGCTCATTATTCTAAAGATACCTTGTTTCAGTCTGGTGCAATGTATTTAAAATATTTATAGGTAAGGGAAGGGTAGGGACCCCTGACCGTTAGGTCCAGTCGTGGACGACTCTGGGGTTGCGGCGCTCATCTGGCTTTACTGGCCACGGGAGCCGGCGTACAGCTTCCAGGTCATGTGGCCAGCATGACTAAGCCGCTTCTGGCGAACCAGAGCAGCGCACGGAAACGCCATTTACCTTCCCGCCGGAGTGGTACCTATTTATCTACTTGCCCTTTTACGTGCTTTCGAACTGCTAGGTTGGCAGGAGCAGGGACCGAGCAATGGGAGCTCACCCCTTCTGATCAGCAAGCCCTAGGCTCTGTGATTTAACCCACAGCGCAACCCGTGTCCCCAAAATATTTATATTCTGCCTTAATTTCAAAGATTTATTATAATATGTATAATAGCTTCAGTGAGTGAATACCTATTTTTATTTGTACATTTTATCTTTTGGAAGAGGTTCCTTTTTATATACTGAAGCTGAATCCTGATAGGATGGAAGTGCTGTGGGTGGGTGGTTCCTGTGTCCTGAAATCACAAGTGGTTTCTGTGGCCAAGAGTGCTTATTATTTATTGAGTTTATATACTGCCCTATAACCAGGGGTCTCAGGCCGGTTCACAGAATAAAATCAAGATATAAAACCACAAAATACATAATAAAAATAAAAACAACAACCTAATTACCCCCCTCCCCCAAAAAACACATTTTAAAAGGGCATAGGATGTAAATCAGGTCAACCAAAGACCTGGTTAAAAAGGAACGTTTCTGCCTGGCGCCTAAAGGTGTATAATGAAGGCACCAGGCGAACTTCCCTGGGGAGAGCATTCTACAGACAGGGAGCCACTGCAGAGAAGGCCTGTTCTTGTGTTGCCACCCTCCAGGCCTCTCGAGGAGGAAGCACACGATTCACCAACTATGGTCATTTCTAGATCAGGATAGCCTTGGCCTCAGTTATCCATGCTCTGGTGACCTCCCATATGGACTACTGTAAATCACTGTATGTGGGGCTGCCCTTGAAGATGCTCCGGAGCCTGAAGCTAGTGTAGAATGCTAAGCCAGTAGGTTGGGCAACCCAATGGAACCAGGTGTCACCAGTCTTAAAATTGCACTG